AGGAGGTCATCTGAGTGGGGACCCCACAGTGTACTCGGATCTCCAGGCACAAACCTAGAGTGTCCAGTTTTACTACTGCACCCTGATAGCCGCTGAGTAACTTTGTTATACATTTTACTGGAGACAAATTTCCTCAACTTCTGCTTCTCTGAGCAGTAAACATTTCTCTCCACTCTCTTCCTGCTTGCATGCTTGATTCTCTGTAGAAATGGATGTAATTCTTAATTTTGCTCTTCTATAGTAAGCTATTTTCTCTCCTCTGACCACTTACAAGAATTTTTTCTTTAGGGCCAGGCTGGTAGTGCAGCATGTAAGTCCTCTGGGTAGCAAGCTAGATCCTGCATAGCTGACTGTAGTTCACATCTGGGCCGAGGTGGCTTGAAAAAATGCTGGGTGCCTCACATCCTGATGGGATAGAGAACTGAAGGAAAAGGGACTGCAATGTAACCACCCCTCACAGGGGACCCTTTCTCTAGTCTCTGGAGAGTGTTGACACCCTCTGGCAATTAAAAAAAAAATCCTTTCTTTCTTCATCTTTGATTTTCTGAAATTTAAATATGAGGTGCCTAGGTGACATATTCCTGGCACTGACATTAATTTGGAAGAAACTGCTTCTGTTCCCTTTTTTTCTTTCTTTTCTTCCGATATGCCCATTATACATTATTTATTCCTTTGGTACTACCATGCTTACGTATTCTGGCTTGCTTTGTCTTTTTTCTCCTTGTCTTTCAGTTTAGGAAGTTTCTATGGTAGCATTATCAAGCTCAGAGATGTTTTACTTAGCTCCATCTAGGATACTAATAACCCATCAAAAGCACTCTTCATTTCTGTTACAGTATTTATTTTTTTATCTCCAGCAAATCACTGTCTGATCATTCCAACACTACTGCCATATCTGACTCTGGTTCAGGTATTTGCTCAGTCTCTTTCTGTTTTTTAGTGTGTCTTACAAAGTTTTGCTGAAAGGCAGCTATGATATACCAGTAGTAAAAGAAAATAAAGGATGTAGGTCTTTAGTAATGGACTGGCAAGATGTGAGATAAGAGGAAGCCTCCTGCAGTGCTATGATTGTCTTATTTTTTTTTAGCAATTATGTTTTTATTTATTTATTAGGATAATCTTGTTTATATTACATTGAATCACATATAATTTTACAATGCATTACATTTCTTTTTCCAGAAGAAAGTCTTTTCTTTTTAAGATTTATTTTATTATCTTTTTTTTTTTTTTTTGAGAGAGATTTGTACTATAGAGCATATGCGCTCGCCAGAGAGACAAAGAAAAAGAAAAATCACCTACGGGGAGAAAGGGTGATGGCCAGGCTACAAACCCTTCTCCTTCATTCTCCTCTTGGGATTTTAGGCACTTATGGAACAAGCAGCCAGCCTGAGCGTCAAGCCTCCACTTTCAGGACTTGAACTGTGGTCAGCCGTGTGGGAGTCCAGCACCTTAGCCACTATGCAACTTGTTGGCTCCACCATCATTATATTTTAATTTGAACAGAGACAGAAAGCAGGAAAGTGAGAAAGCAAGCCACCAGGTCCAGTACGTGAACCAGTCTGCCACGTGGAAGTCCGGCACCTTCTCCACCAAACCACCTAAGTAGCACAGTCTTTTGATGAGCCTGTGAACTTCAACAGTGCATCTCAGTTTTCATGTCCTCCAGATAGGGCAGGTTGGTTGGAGAGGTTCTACGTTTATTTCCTTCCCTCTCGTAGAAAACTCAGAGGACTAGAGCTGGGTATTTCCTTTTCCCTTGCGGAAGGCTAGAGTTGGCTGAGGTTGGGGATTTCCTGTCCCCCAGTTATATCAGGCTCTGATAAAGTCCCAACAGGTTAGCCTCTGGTAAAACAGTTTCTCCGGAGGACAGGCCCTTTTAAGAACAGAATAATCTGGAGTATTTCAAATTGATTCTTTTTCCCCTCTCCTCCAGGCAGTAGTGTGAGGTGGGGCTGGAGATAAGAGTTTCTGATATTCACTGTGAGGACCTGGTAGGGATCAAGAAGGTTCCTCCTATAACAGGGCCTCCCTGGAGTTTTTCTGTCTCAAGAGTGGTTTGAACTAAAGCCTCAAGCAATTGGTCGACTACACTAGTTTCCTCAGAGGTTTCTGTTTGTGGGTTTCTGCTTCAGTAGTCGTGATTCTCTGTACCCACCTGTCTCTGCAGTTTTGGGGGCAGTGGTTTGCCCTGTGACCTCACTTCTCTTGACAGATCTAAGAAGTGGTTTATTTTTCATTCTCTTTGGCTTTTTACTTGTTAAAACCAAGTAGAGACTTCTAAGCCATGCTAAACTGGAAATCGGAAGTCTTCAGAGATCTATTTTTAGTTAATGGCTTTTTAAAATGCTTTAAATATTAATCTATATTTTTTAAAAAACCCTCCTCAGACTATATTTTTCCAATCTGTCATTAGTCTTGCAGTTTTCTTTATATTGCTTTTGGAGGCATAGGCATTTCAGATTCTTATGTAATTAAAGATCTGATTATAGTTTCTGACTTTATGGTATCTTTGAGGCAGGAGTTAGACCCCATTTACAGGCAGACAGGGCAAGGGGAACCCCAAGAAAACCACTGTGATGTGACATGTGACTCCTGATAAGTTCTATACATTCCCAGTCACCCTTTCATTTGCCCTTAGACATGCAGATGTTCTTAAAGAATTCATAGCCCTTTACAATAGAACTTAATTGGGCTAGGCATGAGCTCCTCTACCCTTAGACATACAGATGCCCCTGATAATAGGAACTAATTAGAAAAAAACCAAAGGTCCAGAAAGACATAACTCAAGACACACAAATAATATAAAAGCATTATCACAGTTTCCAGAATGGGGCAAAGCACTTTCACTTTCTGATGGATGGGACCTTACCAGCTGAAATATAAACCTGGAACCCAAATCAGGAGGCATCAACCCATTTTGGGACCCCTCGCTTTTTCCTGGGAGCTCTGATCTTCCCTCTACCTCCTTTAATAAACTCTCCAGTTTTAACCCCTCGACTTGTCCGGGTTTCTAACTCATACTGAGTGAGACTTAAAACCCATGTCCACTCCAGGTGCTGGGCCTGATTACCCCCTTTGCCTCTGTGGTCCTGCATCACCTTCACATAGTGTTGGCTTCTTTTTTTTTTAGTGCTTTTATGGTACTTTCAGTTTTTACATTTATTTTTCTTATCCATCTGAAATTTTTTTTCTTTAGTTTTAAATGGCTGGCTAGTTGTCCTGATATAATTTACTGAATAATTTCATGTCCGAACCAATGAAAAATGCCACCTTTATCTTAGACTAAATGCCTATTGACAATTGGATCTATTTCTGGACTTCACTTTGGCCAAGGGGTCAAAGGTAGGGGCTTTGCCTCCAATGGGAACTAGATGGCTAGAGATGAATAAGGAAAAAAAGAGTAAATTCTTTCTTTCTCTTTCAAATTTTATTCCTTGTACTCTGAGGTAACACTCAAAAACATCACTAAGAATTCTGCTTACTAGACATAAAGAAATTATCAACTATTTCACCTTACAAATACATCCTAACCTCCATTTATATGCCTGAAATCATAAATCCATCTTCAGTTTAAAACTAGGGATTATGATATAATATTTTTAGTTTAAACCAGTAGTGATACTACTCAAATATGTCTTGAACTAAATATTTCTCACACTTAACATAATCAAACACAAAGCCATTTTTACTCTGAAAGAAAATAAAAGGCTTATGTCTAAATCCTTAATTGCTACATATGAGACTAGTACCTTCAAATGTATTAGATCCACAGATGTCAATTCCTTACTCAGATGTATTTCCCAGATTCAGCCTTTTCGGTCTTTCTTTGCTATCTTCATTGATGGCTAACTAGTAACCATCATTTCCTGTCAATACCTATAGAATATCTCATAAAGAAATAATCTTGGGGCCAGTACATGGCATGGTGGTTAAGGTGCTGGACTACAACATGGCTGACTGGTTTAAGTCCTGAACCTGGTGGCCTGCTTTCTCATGTTTTCTCACGAGACCATGTACTTTATAGCAAATTAAAATAATAATAATAAACTTAAATAAATAATTCATTGAAAAAATAATATATTTCTATTTTACTGCAATGTTATCATGATATTTTCAATACAATTTCTTTTCTTTTTTTTGGAGAGGTTTTTGCTTTTTCTTGCCAGAATGACAAAGAGAAACAGAGAGACAGAAAGTGAGAAATCTCCCTCCAGAGGGCATGGCCACGCTGCAATCCCTTCTCCTCCGTTCTCCTCTTGGGATCTTGGGCACACACACCTGGCATGAGCTTAAGCCACCGGGTCCGGGACTTGAACTGTGCTCAAATACATTAAAGTCCAGTGACAGAGCCATTACACTAACTGCTGGTCCCAATACAATCTCTTTATAACTCTATTTTAATGTCAGATACCAAACTTGATCTCGCTGTAATCATAATACTATAAACAGAGTGCCTGAGAGAGAAGAGGTTTTGATCTAGCAGATGAAAAAAAAGAACAGATTTCTCCCTTTTTTTTTTTTTTTTTTTTTTAATTTTGCATGAAGATGGAGGTGGGGAGGCCCCCCTCAGGCCCTGCTGAAGTCTCTTGTCTTCCTTTCTCCTCTCAGGAGTTTGAGCATGCACATACAAGCACACACACACATGTGATTTTCAAGCTATGGGGTCTGGAACTCAGATCATAGTGGCCTTGTGGGATCCAGCTACCTTAATCTCTATGCAAACTGCTGGCCCCAGATTCTATCTTTTAAGTCAGAATTTTAAGTTCCTTTCCTGGGCACAGCAGGAGGCGTGGTGGTTAAGGTGCTAGACTCCCACATGGCTGACAGTGATTCAAGTTCAGGACCTGGAGCTTGCTTTCTTCACTACTCCACAACTCCCTCTGAATGCATATGCCCTAAGCAATTTTTTTAAAAAATTATAATAAATAAAATAAAATAATTATTTAAAAAATTCTTTCGTTCCAATTATTTCCTAAAGAACTATTTAAAAATAGAGTCATAGCTTTGCGCAGTGGCAGTATCGTAGCCAATGAGGTTTGTCCAAGGCGCAATTATTGCTAATTGAAAATAGAGTCACTGAGTAATTTTGTTATAGCCTTTCTCCAAATAAAAACATTTTCAAGCCACTGAAAATATTCTCTCAATAGAAATGGGAAGGTGACCTAGTATTCAGTCTCATTTGCATACTCATTAATAATTACACAGATTAGATACTATCTCTATACCCTGTAATTCTGCTCCCACTACCTGCTCTACCAGGTACTTTCCTACACTGTTCATTTGCTAATAAATGAACTCCTTTAACATGCAGAAATGAACATTCCACATATTTCCTAGAAAAACTAAGTGAAACTATAGCTGAGAAATTCCTTTCTTTTTTAAAAGAATTATTTATCTAATTGTGCTATTATTATTTAATATGCTATATTGTGCTCACCAGAGAGAGAGAGAGAATGTGAAAAAGAAAGTTACCAGGTGCAGGACTTTGACTGTGGTCAATCATGTGGGAGTCCACACTACCTACTAGCCCCTGAGAAAGTAATTCTTTTAATAGTTTAATTATGCTTAGGTTTCAAAACCCCTTACATTTGATTATCATAACATTAGCATCCCCCACTTAGCAGAAAACAGAGTGACTTGCCAAACATCATGTAACTGGTAGTACAAACAGGTGTCCTGAGAGAATGTCCTTTGTCCCTAAATATATTGTCCCCCACCATGATTAAATTTAATATCCAGAGGAAAAAAGTGTCTTTGCAGAACAAGAAGAAAGAAGCACTTCTTCACAGTACAACACATAAATACTAGTGATGAACATACGAAAACAAAACAATTAGGCTTAGTACCTAAAGAAGTGAGTTCCTATTTTCTACATAAGAAATTATCTCTGGTTTGCCAAATGAGAGCATACTATAAAAGCTTCTAGGCAAAAGATACATTTCCTTTTCTCATATTGCCATTAGAGTCTTATCTTACACAGTGAAGCACTTATCTAATGGCCACCTATTAGCATATCTCAACTATCTATGGCATAGTCCAATACATAGACATTAGAAGCACCCACCACTAAAATCTGGGCATGTTTCATGAGAGACTCCTTCTTAGATAGTTACTCTTACTTTAGACCAATAGTTCTCAACTAAATCAGATTCAGTGTCCCCCTCCCTTCCATAAAATATTTTCTAACTTTTGTTTCACCAACCTGAAATGAAATCAATAACAATCTTCCTACAGCATATTTCAAAAAAAAAAAAATTCCACTTACCCTAAATAAAATATAAATGAAATAAGGAAATACACATAATTTATCATAAAATAGTATTTCTTTCTTTTTTAAGATGGGGGTGGTGTGTGTGTGGCGGGGGTGGGGCTGTGGTTTCCCCAGGCTGGAATGGAACTCATGGTCCTTCTGTCTCAGCCTTGGTAGTAATTAGGATTACAGGCACATGCCACTGCACTGGTTTCTGACAGTAGCTCAATATGTAAATGCCGGGACAAAACTACAGTGGAAGACTTCCAGCAGTAATTAGTAGTTGAACACGATAAGCACAAATGCAAAGCTGTTTGTGGTACAATTTTCCAAAACTATAAACAACTCTTGGTCAAGTCAAATCTTCCTTCAATTTACATAACAGGTGCATGTGAAATCAGACACTGGAAAGAAAATTCAGTCTCAGCTAAAACTATGACTATATACAAAATGGAGTTTGTAGATTCAGAAAATTACAAAATATTACATGAGTATTAGGCAGGAATATTCTTAAATCATCCAGGACATAGGGACATGTTCATAGTTCAAAATGTCATATACATTGCAAAAAGTATGCATCCCTGCCACCCCTTTTTAAATGCTAATGGTTAGTTCCAATCATTAAAACAACAAATAAAACATTCCTCCCAATTTCTCCCTAGAAAGGAACCTTAGACACAATTCAGCTACCTTTATTTACAGCATAACGTAAAGCAGCTTAGAAGTATAGAGTTCCAGTTCTGTCACCTACAACCTACATGATCATTGGTCAAAGTTAACTCCTCCAAACCTCAATTTCCAGAATATCAAAAGGGAATAAGCACAACCTAGTTTTTTTGGCTATCAGGATGACTCAACAACATGTTGGTGGCATACTGCAGTTTCCAACCCCTGACACAGAGATGTGAAGACAACTATTCAAGTAAACACAAAGAACGCAATAAAAAAGAACATCAATGTGGTAGAGGCAGAACATAAGAGAATATAAAATTAAATTTAACACATAAGAGGGGCCAGCAGGTGGTAGTGGTTAAGGCACTGGACACTCCTACATGGCCAACCATGGTTCGAGTCCTGGACATGGTGGCTTGCTTTCTCACTTTCCCTGTTTCTCTATGTCTCTCTCTGGTCAAATTAAAAAAAAAAAAAAAAGAATGAATAAAATTAAATAATTCATTGGCAAAAAAAATTTAACATACAAACATAACAAAATATCTAGAGATATTTTAAAGAGCAGCCACCAAGCCCTGAAGCCATTCGTGTATTATGATTCAGTGAAAGAATATTCAGAATGATGAATCTCAGATTAAGACGGCAAGAAGGATACATATTTTAAGGAGACTGCCACTGTACATGACTACAATTTTCAAAAGCTTGCTATTTAAAGAGAGTGATTATATTTATCAAATATTATTCACAATTTTTTTTTTCTTTTTTTGGAGAGGTTTTTGCTATAGGGCGCATGTGCTCACCAGCAAGACAGAAAGAGACAGAACTCGAGAAATCATCCCACCAGGGGGGATGGCCACGCTGCAATCCCTTCTCCTCCATTCTCCTCTGGGAATCTTGGGCACACGCACTCACATGCCTGGTGTGGGTTTAAGTCACCAGGTCCAGGATTCGAACCGCAGTCGACTACATGGGAGTCCAGTGACATAGCCATTACGCTAACTGCTGGTCCCACTTTTTTTTTTTTTTTTAATCTCTTGGCATGAGACTGAAAGACAGGCACCTTCAGCAGGGTTTTAGCCTTCCCAGCCAGCCCAGATCACAGGTATGTGCATGCCCGGTATATACAGGTCAACCCAGGAAGCCATGTGCATAGTATTAACCCAGTCATTTAAATAGAATCCAGCACTCAAAGCACTGTGTTATCGACCCACCACATTGGCTAGAACATTATTCAAACTTTTATTGGTCCTTTACCCTAGCCTAGGCTGGGTATTAAAGAAACACATATATCTAATATGCCACATTTGTCCTCAAACCTTTTACTATCCAGATTAGGCATGGGTAGAAACAGAGACACAGATACTAAACAAACTCAAGTAATTAATTATGGGGACCCAGAGAAAATTATGAATAATTGCCATTGAGGAAAGTGAAGGCCATCTTCATGGTATACAATTGAAAATTCTATTAAAATTTATTGAAATCATGGGTAGGTAATGAATGTGAAGCAAAATATTAAGGAAAAATGAAGTCTGGGCAAAAGCAGTGAGTATGAAAATACAGCTTGGTTGAGAGTTTCCCTAAGAGAGTTAGGGAAAGCACACATTAGGGGTTGGGATGAAAGCAGTAATAATTAAGGCTATAAAGATAGTTCAGGACCTGTTCTTAGACGGATCTGAATGACATCCAAATGTATCTGAATTTTACTGGGCAAGCTGAGTTCTCCAGAAAACTGGTGTTTAAGTGACATACCTGATCCTCAAATAATGCTGAATAATGGCCAGAAAGATTCAAAAGAAATGTAAATGATCTTGAGGTTCCTGAAGTAACATGTATTCTTAATATAAATAAAGAAGCAAAAAGAGCCTAAGAGCAAAAAGCAGCATCTGAACTAGTTTTTTTTTGGAGAGATTTTTTTTGCTATAGGGCGTGTGCGCTCTCCAGAGAGACAGAGAGACAGAAAGCAAGAAATCACCCCCCAGGGGGGATGGCCACACCGCAATCCCTTCTCCTGAGTTCTCTCCAGATCTTGGGCACGCACGCACACGCGCCCAGCGTGAGTTTTAAGCCACCGGGTCCGGGACACGAACCACGGACGACTACATGGGAGTCCAGCAACATAACCATGACACTAACTGCTGGTCCCCTGAACTAGTTTTTTTAATAATCAAAATATTACTAAATTTATTGACCCTGGGAACTAAAAAGAGCTCAAGATAATCTATGTGGCCCCTGATTTTCTCCCAAGCAAGTCAGAGCATTTCCTAACATGTTATTTAGCATTGCCTCACAACACCCCTGCAAGGAGAAGAGGAAGGCTACAGTATTATTAACCTCTTTTTATTACGGGGAAACTGAGGAACACAAAGAATAAATTACAGGATGGTCACAACATAGGCAACCATATTTTCTAGGACTTTAATTAAAGGCCTTAAACTTACATTTCTTCATCTAGTTTTTCCAATATCTGAATACTGGCGTTATCTTATTAATCGAAGGAAAAAACCCGTAAACTTAAGATCATTTTCTCAATTCAGGAGTCACTGAAAAGTTAAGAGTTTTCAAATACTTCTCTTGAAATGTTAAAATTTTCAACAATCGCAAGGTGTTAAGCAGTAACTCAATCTCCCCAAAACAGTTAGTTGTAAACAGCAGAACAAGTCAGGAATCCTAGGCCCCGTTTTTAAATTTAGATTATCTGGCAGGCTTTGGGAAACATTAGAGATCACTGCCTGTTAAACAGGCTTTGCAGATGGTCTGATGGAAAGTTGCCCTAAAAAGCCCGAAACTGTGGTATCACTACACCCACCACTGCAAACGTGAAATCCAACGCCCTCCGCCTTGGTTTCTCCCTGCATTGCACCATGCGACTCGTGGTACGCACTGAGGCCTGCGCAAGGACCTCCCCAGTTTCCCTTAACATGCGGTACTGTCAAGATGCCCTTGGCGCTGGTCTCCGTAAACAGTGGGGACCGGATGTGGCTAAGCACGTCTCAACATCTCGGCTCTCCACAATCAAGGACCTCGTCCAGAAGCTTCTACAGGACAGAGTTCCTGCTAAATAGTTCATTTTCACATATGCATGACAGACCCTACCCCTAACTCCCCTTCCTCTGCCTGCTGCCCCTCGTATTGTTGCTTGGGTGTCCCAAGGGCCAAAGGAGGCGAGAAAGGGAGGCTAGAGAGCCACGGCTGGGGGCGCCCGACGCGTGCCAGGGTCCGGC